AGGGGGAGGAGGGAATCAGTGCAGGGGAAACTAGGGATCTGGATAAAAAGGCCAAGAAAATAGAAGGGACAAGAAGCTGGGTCTGAAAATAGAGACCCATGTAATGACTGAGGCCAAGTAGGCTCCTGCTTTTAAAGCCTACCAGGTAGCACAGAGGAGGCAGCCCGATTCAGCTGTGTGTGGGTCTGCCTGGATGGGAAACTTGGAATCATTATCAGAAAATCAACACCTCTCTCCCAGAAAAGTTTATTCAAAGTTTTAAAACAACAACCACAAAAACGATTCTTAACACATTTATCATCAAAATAGTTATGAGTAAACAAACTAATGACCATGGTGAGAGAAATAAATAATTTTAATAACGATATTAAAATTAAACTAAATAGATGGAAATTAGAATAGTTAACCCCCTAAGTGGATGGTAATGGCCCAGTAAGGTGCTTCCTGAGTTAGTTGGAGTCAGTGTCCTAGGATTGCACCATGTCCAGGAGGGAAGAATCAGGGCCCTGGAGAACCTGTGTGACCAGGGCAAGTACTGTACAAATTCCCTTAACAAGGGTCTAGTTAGTGGGTGGAAGTGTGGGGACTCATCTCTGTCCTGCTTCCACAGTACCCTCCACGGCTTCAGCATTTCCACCAGATGGCTGGTTGGGCAGGTTCCCTACATGAGGGCAGTACCTCAGAGCCATACCAGGGTCTCCCGTGGGGTTCAGGAATCCTGGTTGTATGGAAAATGCTGCTGTCCATCAGCCATTTCAGCCCAGCTGCCCACCTGCCATCTGACTGCCTCTAGTCCTCATGTGGAAACTTGTCCATGAGTGTGTTTCTACTCCAGGCTGTGGGAATGCCTCGCACTATTGCTCCCAGCCAGTAGGGCACACCATGGCTTTCGTTCCCCTTTGAAGACTAGGAGGTTCCTGAGGATGCTCTGTGTCGCAGGATAGCACTCAGCACCTTCCTCCATGTTTGCTGGAACTGATGGACCTAAAGGAACATAGAACATTTTTGAAGGGGAAGCCCTCCACTGCCATTCCAGGTAGAAAGAACAAATTCCTTGTCACATGAAGCAAACTAGAAAGGTAAAAATGCTCGATAAGTGGGTGCCTCATGAGCTGACTGCAAATAAAAAAATCATCGTTTTGAAGTGTCATCTTCTCTTATTCTATGCAGCAACAACGAACCATTTCTATCGGATTGTGACGTGCGATGAAAAGTGGCTTTTATATGACATTTGGCGATGACCAGCTCAGTGGGTAGGCCTAAAAGAAGCTCCAAAGCATTTCCCAAGGCCAAACTTGCACCAAAAAAGGTCATGGTCACTGTTTGGTGGTCTACTCCAGTCTGATCCATTATAGCTTTCTGAATCCTGGTGAAACCATTACATCTAAGAAGCATGCTAAGCAAATTGAAGAAATGCACCAAATACTGCAACGCCTGCAGCCAGCATTGGTCAACAGAAAGGGCCCAATTCTTCTCCACCACAATGCCTGACCGCACATCGCACAACCAACACTTCAAAAGTTGAACGAATTGGGCTACGAAGTTTTGCCTCATCCGCCATATTCACCTGACCTCATATCGACCAACTGCCACTTCTTCAAGCATATCGACAACTTTTTGCAGGGAAAATGCTTCCACAACCAGCAGGATGCAGAAAATGCTTTCCAAGAGTTCATTGAATCCCGAAGCACGAATTTTTATGCTACAGGAATAAATAAACTTATTTCTCGTTGGCAAAAATGTGTTGATTGTAATGGTTCCTATTTTGATTAATAAAGATGTGCTTGACCCTAGTTATAATGATTTAAAATTCACTGTCTGAAACCACAATTATTTTGCTCCAACCTAATACTAGCAGGAGGAAGAGGGTCTCTAGCTTGCGCCTTCCCTGCCACAGGACACTCAGTAGCTTTCCATGGTTCAGGCAGATGAGTGGTTGAGCTGGGATCCCCTGCAACAAAGACAAGTCTCCCTAGCCACACCTGCCCCTCCCCCCGGGGTTCAGAAGCCTTCCCTGCATGGACATCAAGTGTCAAGCCCTTCAGGCCTCACAGGCCAGATGCCCTTCTGCCATATGATTTTTCAGGGCCCCTAATATTTGGGACTTCACGGTTTCCATAGATCTTCCCAGGACTGTGGGAGAGTATCATCCTTATTGCTCTGTAGCCAGCGTATGTTGAAAGGGCACAACAGATGCAGATGCCCTACAATAGCTCTGTACTCAGATATACCACTAAGATATCTGAACCTCGGGGGTGGGAAAAACAGATTCGCCTTTTTTTTTTTTAATTGGGGAATTGGGGGAGGGAAACAGTGTTGGGGAATTGGGGAAGGGGACCAGCCAAGTTGTTGTTCTTCAATCTTTGTTGTGGAGGGCACCAGTCGCCATCTGACTGTCCGTCAGCAGTTCGTGGCCTCTAAGCTCAAGGTGCTGTGTTCAATCTTAGCTGCGGGTGGGTGTAGCCACCATCCCATGTGGGAGTCGAACCGGCAGCCTTGTTGTTAAAAGCTCACGCTCTATTCACTGAGCCATCCGGGCAGCAGCTCAGCTCAAGGTGCTGAGTTCAGTTTTAGCTGGTGGCCGGCGTAGCCCACCATCAAACAGGCAGTCCTGTTGTTAGGAGCATGTGCTCTCACCAGCTGAGCCATCCTGCCACCTGTTGGCAGCACAGGGTCAGCTCAGCGCAGGCGCAGTATCACTGGCCCACATGGGAATTGAACTGGCAGCTGTGTTGCTCAGAGCTTACACTCTTAAGCTAACTCTTAACCAGCTGAGCCACTCGCCTGGCCCCAGATTTGCCTTTTATTAGAGAACATGATTAAAAAACAAAAAAACAAAAACAAAAAAACCCACTGATCTGAATGTGCTCATTGCTGCAGGGGAATGCTTTTTTCATGGCCTCTCAGCTGACAATGTGAGGAAATTTATGTGGATGTACAACTAAGTAGTATCTATCATCTAATCTATCTATCTATCCATCTATCATCTATCCATCATTGATCAATATATATAAACATTTCTGTAAGGAATGATCCTCATTTGTATAAAGGCAAACATAGCTTAATAGGCCATATGGAAGTCTCCAACTCTAATCCCCCACTTAGCCATGTCCCCTCCCTTAACTTTTCCCTCTCACTCCAACTGTGAGCGGGCCTGTAAGGGCCTCACGCCCACCAGGAAACAGCAAGCCCTGAGTGTCCTGCACTGCACTCAGACCACCGGCAGAGGGCACCCCAATCCGCCTCTTTTCACCCAACGCCTCAGACGCACATGGAGCGCATGCGTCTCCCGCGCTGACTTGACACCTTGTCTGGAGTGAGAACAGGAGCGTTGTTTTTTTAGGGCGGATGGAATTGACTCCATGGTTTGCGGGCAACCCGGCTACACCCATGGCGCGTAAATCCGTGTGGCCGGATTGCAGAGAAGGAAGGGAGATTTGTCCGACTTCTCCCAGATAGTCTTCTTAACGAGAAAGAAAGGAAAGAACTTCATTTTCTAGACTGTCCCCACGTGTTCTAGTCTTTACTTTCGCGTGCACTATTTTAACCAGGCTTATTTTACAAAAGTAACTATTGGGGATCATGTGGGGTAGAATCATAGCATGTTCAAGTATTTTTTATGGCTTCACGATTGTTTCCTGGGAGAAGTGCCCACGCAAGTTCAGAGGGCGGGAAGTGCGTGGGGTTCCTCTCAGGCATGCGCAAGATGGCGGCGCAGCCCGCGAAGGGGCGGGGCCACCTGCGAATGGGCGGGGCCGAGGGCGCGTCCAGCTCCCGGGCAAACAAACGGACAGCGTTGGCGGCTCCAGACGTGATTTTTTTTAATGGTTAGTGGGTAATTTTTCTCAGACAGTGACAATAGTTGAACAAATACTGAAAAGTTGACGAGTAGGTATATTAAAACTCACAACAGTATTTTAAATGCCAATACTTTATTGAAATCCAAATTTGCATTTATTATAATTTAACTTCTGTAGCTTTAAAGGAAAGCTGTCTTATCTATTAATATAAAGTAATGCTCCTCAGTTTATCTCATTTTCAAATCGAAGTATTATCATGATTGATGTTGTCTCATGACTCAATGATAGCCTTAGGTAATTTTACATTAATTTCAGCTTCCTGAAATGTCTTCTGCAGGACCTCGTTGTGACAGGTATTATTAAGATAAATAAATCTGGGACACATCCAAATTTATAAAATTGTTATAAAAAGACAAGGGGGAAAATGCTGAGTTTGAAACAAAAGCTTATAGTCCAAATTAAAATATATTGACATTTCTTCAGAATTATTTATTCTCCTTTATTGCAGAGATATCCTGAGGTGTCTAAACTCTAAATTTTATTTTCAAAAAATAAGTTAAAATA